TTCTTCTTCTTCTTCTTCTAATTCTTCTTCTAATTCTAATTCTTCTTCTTCTTCTTCTTCTTCTTCTTCTTCTTCTAATTCTAATTCTTCTTCTTCTTCTAGTTCTAGTTCTAATTCTACTTCTACTAATTCTAGTTCTAATTCTACTTCTTCTAGTTCTAGTTCTTCTTCTTCTAGTTCTGGTTCTTCTTCTAGATCCAGTTCTTCTTCTAGTTCTAGTTCTTCTTCCTCTAGTTATAGTTGTTCTTCTAGTTCTTCTTCTTCTAGTTATAGTTCTTCTAGTTCTTCTGCTAGTTCTAGTTGTTCTTCTTCTAGTCCTGGTTCTTTTTCTAGTTCTCCTTCTTCTAGTCCTAGTTCTTCTTCTAGTTATAGTTCTTCTGCTAGTTCTAGTTCTTCTACTTCTAGTTCTAGTTCTTCTTCTAGTCCTAGTTCTTCTTCTTCTAGTTCTTCTAGTTCTCCTTCTTCTAGTCCTAGTTCTTCTTCTAGTTCTTCTACTTCTAGTTCTTCTTCTAGTCCTAGTCCTAGTTCTTCTTCTAGTTCTAGTTCTTCTTCTTCTAGACCTAGTTCTTCTTCTAGTCCTAGTTCTTCTTCTTCTAGTTCTTCTAGTTCTAGTTCTTCTGCTAGTTATAGTTCTTCTACTTCTAGTTCTTCTTCTAGTCCTAGTTCTTCTTCTTCTAGTTCTTCTTCTTCTAGTTCTCCTTCTTCTAGTCCTAGTTCTTCTTCTAGTTCTTCTACTTCTAGTTCTTCTTCTTCTAGTCCTAGTTCTTCTTCTAGTCCTAGTCCTAGTTCTTCTTCTAGTTCTAGTTCTTCTTCTAGTTCTAGTTCTTCTTCTTCTAGTTCTTCTAGTTTTAGTTCTTCTGCTAGTTATAGTTCTTCTACTTCTAGTTCTTCTTCTAGTTCTAGTTCTTCTTCTTCTAGTTCTTCTTCTAGTCCTAGTTCTAGTTCTTCTTCTTCTAGTTCTAGTTCTTCTTCTTCTAGTTCTTCTAGTTCTTCTGCTAGTTTTAGCTCTTCTACTTCTAGTTTTAGTTCTTCTAGTTCTAGTTCTACTTCTAGTTCTCCTTCTAGTTCTTCTTATTATTATGTTGCTTAAATTGGTTTTGTGCATGAACAACATAATTAAATCATGTTGAGTTTTCTTTGATACATTATAGGGAGAGGTTGAATTATTCACACTGTATCCACTGTTTGTAGTGTCTGATGTGATGTGTAGTGTGTGTGGTTTTGTTGTTTGGATGAATGTTGTGTTTTGTATTTTTGTATTTATGTATTAATGTGGAGTCGAGCCTTTTTATGCCAAACAACGCAGGCTACGTCTTGAGACGCAGAACATATTTGTAAACATGACATAGGCCTACAGTAAATCTCTAAAAATCAAATATAACATATATATATGCACAAAACACACACAAGTGGTTTACTAAATTAGGTATAAAATGGAATAATTTGCACAAATTAATAGTTTTGTCTATTTTTTATTTTAGATGTGCTAATGTTTGGAAAAAAATTATTTGATCTGTTTGTTTTAATGTACAAAAAAACGATGGTAATATCTTCAATAATTTCTTTTTGTGGATGTAAAATTAGGCTGAAATAATTAAATATAAACAGTTTTAACACAATGCATTTGGTGGTCAGCACATTCAGTTTGTACATGAAGTGGAAAATAATGAACCAAACACTACAAATTAAAGTAATGTGACAAGTAAGCACAAACCTCAATAATTTGTGTAATTGCACAAATTACATATTTTTAAGTTTGATATTATTTTAAGATATATATTTAGATCTAAATTTTTGAAAGCAGAATATAAGATTTAGCTAAAATAATGAGCAAATTAATTATATATTGTTCATTTTGTGAGAATTTTGGATAATTAAACAAAATAAAAGTCAGGCATCGAATAGACCTACGCAAACGTGTGACACTGCACCAAGCAAAGGCCCCCCAGCTCCTCTTACGTCATATTCAGTTGCCGGCTAGCGGTTATTTTTCGGGTCAGGTCGGAGGGTCTTTGGAGGACAGGTAATCATGGCCCTGAGGGTGGTCAGACTGGTCATCCCGTCGGGAGCAGCTGCTGTTAAAGCTGTGAACATTACACAGAAGGTGAGAAGAGAAAACACGCGGACACAGAGTTTCATTTGTTCTGCTGAGCGTGTCAAATTTACAAGGACAAGCTAGCAATGCTAGTTAGCTTCCTAGCCGTTAGCATCACAATCAGTCACCACTAGGCTACCTGCTGGTTTGTTTATGAGGTTCTTGGCAGGAGAGAAATGAGAAAACAAGTTGCCAGCACATATAAGTAAATGTTAATTATATTTATCGAGGCTTACGTGACGTTCCCAGGCAAACATGTCGAGATAACACCTTGTAATTATGCAGTTTGGTGAAGCTAGCCGGTCTCAATGTTGCTACATGCAGAGTTTTAATGGTACACCTGTCACGTTTAAGTTCTCATCAGCACCTTAACACTTTATTTTTAAAAAGTGTAATCCAGTGAGGTCACAACCAGCACCTATTGCTACCTTTAGAGACAAATGTAGTCAGTGTGTCTCTTCACGTCACTTTACCTTTTACAAACGTTTACCTACTGTTTTACAGCTGATGACACCTCTGTGCAGACATATTTACATTTATCATCATGCATATACATTTATTGCATCCTTGTTTAATACATGAAGTTTATTCATTTGCAATTACTGACATTTATATGAGTTTGCATTTTATTTTTGCTATGTTTTGTTCCTATTTTAACAAGCTCTATTTATGTTTAGATTCTCGTTGTGTTTTTACTTGCGTATTCCTTCCTTAGAAGTACAATGGTATGAGATTTTCTTGGTTCCATAACCGTCTCTGAAAATACCGTGGTTTCACGGTATCATCATATCACAGAATTTATATTATTATCTGTCAGAATGACTCTTAAAGGAAAGAAAACAGACAGCTTATTGTTGGTTGTACACACGTTTTATTACTATAACTGAAACCTTAAACCATTTTGTTAATGGAAGTTTGTGTCAAAAGTCACTGTTTTTAAAATATTTAAAATAAAAGGGACGTTCTCTGTCCAATTGCATTTTTAGAAAAAATATTGTAGATAAGCAAATGTACACAGTATGATAACCGTGAACTTTAATATCACGGTGTACCTTGAAACAGGTATATCGCTGCAATCCTAAAAGCACTAGAATTGAACTAAGGTGCGGTTAAATGCAGATATACTAAGCTGTCTGTTATTTAGGTACAACTAGAGCTGGTGTTCTCTCATTGATATAAATGAGCTGGACCAAATATTTGATTAAATTAGTCCCAGATTTATTGAATTTATTGCTCCGAGTGCAGATACTGAAACAACGAAATGCAGTTCAGCATCTAATCAGAAATGCTAAATGATAAGGAATAAATAGAATCTGAAATGAACAGCAAGGGGCATGAATATACTAGATATGGACAGTATGAGCATAGTTAGCAGTGCAGCTGTAGTATAAAGTAAATAGTGCAAAGTGTAATTACAGGTAATTCTAATATTATCAATTGATCAATTTCAGGGCTCCTCCATTGCATTAATGTTAGCTAGGTGCACCTGAAAAAGTAGCAACTTAGCGCTACCTATTGTAATCCATCATCACATTATCAGCCTTTTACCTGTGGTTTGTTGTTTGTTGAAAGCACCAAAAATTTAAAGAAAAAGTTATTTATTTTACTTGGGGTTGCTCCTTATTATTCAGGACTGATGTGTCTGTTTCTGTAAATCGATTCATATTGTGACAAGCAGCGTTGGATGAGAGACAGGAAGCAGCTTACAGCGATATTAACCCTTTAATGACTTGGGCAAAAACACTATCATAACTATAGTAGGTGTGAAAAAATGCAACAGCCACCTCACTAATGGTCAAAACAATTACCGACATAAACCGCCATGTTCTGAACACATTACAAATACTAGCAAAACAGTAGCTGTTTATTCTGTTGCCTTGTCTTTTTCAAGGCTGGAATACCAACATAGTGCAGTGTGCAGATGTGTGAGGTTGTTGTTGATATGACAGTCACTTTGTCCCTTTCATCATTTGCAAATTTGTTTGTTATATGTACCCATGATGAAACCACTAAAGATATTAAAATGGTCAGGTTTCTCAAGGCCCTGGTCCTTGTGTCATATCTAGTTTTATTACCTGTAATAAGTTGAAGGGATGTTTCCAAAGTGTACATTCCCAGATAAACTTGAACTGACCTTTTCACAAACTAACTTCCTCGCAGTAAACCTGGGGCAGATTGGTGTTCCTGTGTAGAAATGCTGGGTTGGTTGGTTTTTCAGACCTCGGGCAAAATGGGTTTGGAGGGAATCGGACTTTGGTCTATATCAGCTCTGTGTTATCAATTAATTAAAGCTGGTGGGGTTTTTTGGTCATTCAGGCAGGAGTTCACACGAGCTCGGTGAAAAGCCTACGGTACGGCTGGTGGGCCTATGCGCTGGGTGAGAGGACGACGCCACGCTTTCAACAATACAGCAAAATCATCACCTTGGATGGCAACTTGGCCTCGGGGAAAGGAGCTCTGGCTCAGAAGCTGGCTGACAAGCTGGGTAAGTAACTCAGTATAGGGATGCTTCGCTAGAGAATCTCAGCAAGTGGTTCTCTCAGGTTTACAGTCATGTAGTGGATCAGTGAAGGCATTTACAGGCTAAAATGCTCAGTTCCTTCAATCATGAGGCTAAAATGGCTTAAATTTAGCTGATACTGCTCCCTGCATCAGAGGTTAGTAGTGATGTTGACATTTAGGAGTTTAAAAATCTGGTAATGTGTATTTTTTAAAATCATAAACACACGGCTTAAACAATTTTGACAAGGACCCTTGAAATTCGTTTATTAAAAATCGTGACAAAGATCTGCACAGAGCGGGACATTCATGAGTTCTCCCTGGTGAACAAATTAAAGAAAGGTGACACCATTTCTAAAGTGCCTTAGACTTGTCTCTGTCAGCTCCTGTTAACATTTATTGTTATGCAGCGGTCAATGTATCACTGCACACGATTGACATTTTGGGAAATATGCTTGTTTGTGGTCCCAGCGGGAGTTATGCCTACTATACACAAGAGACTTTGAAAAGACTTTTTGGAAGATGAAAGTCAGACACCCTCTCACACTTGAAGACAATGTAAGTTTTTAGTTACACACTTTAAGGTTTTGCAAAGACTGAGGATCTTGCAGCATCGCTATTTGCAAAACTACAGCTAGATTCCTTTTGAGATTATTTCCATCCTGCTCCTGGTGGAAAATGTTACACCAAACTCCCTTTAAGAAATATGATATTTTAGCAATTCTTGAAGTATCTGTAAAAACACATAACTCTAGAAACACAAGATAAAAGGCGTCATATGTCGACAATATTCTTGTCAATGTTGGCATCAATATAATCCATAAAAATATTCTGGATTTGCGTACAAACTTAACATTTTGGAATTCGTCGCCTCAACTTGCTACCAGCCCCTGTTGGTTAGCTGTGTTGTAGTAGTGGGAGGAAACAGTGGGAATGAGAGGCGACGTGTTTTCAAAATTAAGATTTCTCACTAAAATAAGTGCTGGTTGGTGAATCAGATACACGCTGAATTAAATACAAACTCTTTCAGTAGTCTTTCAATAAAAAATGTTACATTTACAGCCTGTAAGGCGCGTCGTGGGAGAAATTGTTCCGACGCGTGTTCTGGTCAACAACAATAAACCAGTGTCCAATTGGTCAGGTTTCTTTGAGTGTGGTGACCCATTTATTTTAGCATGTGCTCACCTTCACACAGGTGAAACAATGTATGTCCATTATTCAGGTAAGTTTCCACTTACCAGTTTCAGAGTCCATCACAGGTAAATATCCATTCTACAGTTTCAGTTTCAGCCAGCTACAAACTCTTCATATTGCCACACTTGACACGGTCAAAAAACTGTTTGCTTCCCTGTCACACACCTGCTGCCCCTTACCTATATTACCTGTGTTTTCCTGTTCTAGTGTGCCACCCTGTGGACAGACAGTAAAACTGCATGTATTTATATGTAGTCATTATTATTTAAACATGAGTTAAAACCAATACAGATAATGTTATTGTGGGTTTGCTGCTTCCTGTTTGGTGCTGGAGAGAAGGCAGCCATGATTGTTGACAATATCCATGTCATTGAAGTTAAGTATTTGCATCAGCCATGACTAAAATCTTCCGATATCTATCTCCAGGGATGCTCTACATGCCTGAGCCTGACACTTACTACATAGACAAGATGACCGGGGAGAAGGAGCCACTTCCTGTTGACTTCAACGGGATGTGCAGCCTGGAGAAGTTCTACATGGACCCCAAAGCTGCCGATGGAAACAGCTACAGGCTACAGCTGTGGATGTACACCATGAGGCTGCTTCAGTATGCCGACGCCATCGAACACCTGCTCACTACAGGTATCAGTGACTCGGAGAGCTGAGTGTTCTGTCGGGTCATTTACAGCCAAAAACTATTAATCAAAATCAAGTTTGGGATATCAGCTGATTGATTTTAGTAGTAGAAGTTGGTGTATGACAAGATTTACAGAGTGTTAACAGGGTCATCCTGATCTTCTGTGTTTTTAAGGTCAAGGAGTGGTCCTGGAGCGTTCTCCCTTCAGTGACATGGTGTTCCTAGAGGCCATGTTCAAAGAGAAATACATCAGGAAGGAGTGTGAGTACTCAGGATGCACAAACAAAATGCACAACCATTTAAAGTAATTATATATTTCAGTAGGCTTGAATATAAAAGCTATTGACAGGGATTTCCCAAGTCTGTTTTCAGATGTTAAACTTGGTCATGACGTGTATTGCGAAAAACAAATTATGTTCCACTGGTTACACATTGTTTAAAGAAATGCCCCGTGGCTTGCAGGTGTGCAGCACTACAATGAGATCAAAGGCATCAGCATCTGCGAGTTCCTGCCGCCGCATCTCGTCATCTACATCGACCTGGCAGCCGAGGAGGTGCAGAAGAAGCTGAAGCAGAGCGGCAAGGTAATGAGACACATTCACTGACGCCACGTGATGCCGTCATCTCCGTGGGAAACTGTA